AGGGGGACAGCTTGAGGCTCTGTCTCAAAAAAAAAAAAAAAAGAATTTATTTGAAGCTGAGCATTGTGGCAGACACCTGTAGTCTCAGCTACCAGGGAGACTGAAGCAAGCAAATCACTTTGAGCCCAAGAGTATGAGGTTGCTGTGAGCTATGATGCCTTGGCGCTCTATTGAGGGCAACAAAATAAAACTCTGTCTCAAAAAAAAAAAAAGATTTTATTTAACTGTAACAGTATATGTCCACCTTTCAAGGGTAGATATACAGGGTGTCCATAAAGGTCATGTGCAATTTAAAATAGTTTAACATGGTAAATTGCACATGAACTTTATGGACACCCTGTGTATTAGAATCTGAAAACACCCTATATCAATTTTGAATACTCATCTACATATAACCTTATCTCTCTCTCTTCACTCATTGTGTGTTGTCCAAGTGTGATTTGATCAACAGGAAGATTTCCCACTTTGCTGTTAGAGATTGTTTTCTGTGTTTATGATGAAACCCATTGTCCCCATCTCTGGAAACTGAGCTCTGGGGGTTTGAGGGGGAGCGTTAAACTTCGGGCAGCTCTTTTGTCCTATTGATGAGTTATCCTCTGTCTGCCAGGTAAAGCGGTACCAGTGCACCTTTGAGGGCTGTCCCCGCACCTACAGCACAGCAGGCAACCTGCGTACCCACCAGAAGACTCACCGAGGAGAGTATACCTTTGTCTGTAATCAGGAGGGCTGTGGCAAGGCCTTCCTCACCTCCTACAGCCTCAGGATCCACGTGCGAGTGCACACGAAGGAGAAGCCATTTGAGTGCAACGTGCAGGGCTGTGAGAAGGCATTCAACACACTGTACAGGTGGGACTGTCCACTGCTCTGCTAGCCTCTGACTCTGACCTTGTTGTGACTGCAGAGCTCATTCTCTTTGTACAGGAGAGAGATTCACTTTCAGGACTTCAAAGAGCATACCTGTGCTCAACTATTTAAAATCCATTACAGGAACTTACTTCTGAAAGGTGGATTTGTCTTGGGTTGGCTAGAAGTCACAGTACATCTGTATTTTAATTTGCATCTCATGGAATTCATTCTGGCCTGGGCATTTTAGTGGGGATTTGGCATAGAGTAATATCTCCCCTTGGCCACAATCTTTATACTAAGGCTCCTGTAATTTTCTTTCCTACCTCACCTTGAGGATAACTGCTCTGCCATGAGAAATGGGGAGTGGCCCACTTAATAGCCATTTCTCTTTTCCATGTTTATATCAGGAGACTTATATTAGTCTTCAATATTGGGTATAAAATAATATAAAAAAAAGCACTTACTGGGGGGATTCAGTACCTTCCTACCCAGTGGGTACAATGCACTGATACATAGCTCATTCCTTGGGTATAGGACGCAACTTGGACTCTGAATTTCACCTGTCATGTATAAGTTATATAACCTAATGATTTGTACCCTTATATAAATCTGAAATTAAAAAAATAATAAATTAAAAGCACTCATTGTGGGCTAGGCACAATTCTAAGTGCTAATGCTCACAACAGCTGATAAGTAAATGGAAGCACAGAGGGATTCTGTAACTGGCTCAAGGTCCCCATCCAAGTAGGATGTGGGGCCATGTGTTGAATGCTAGTCGTCAGTCTCTAGAGTTCCACTCATACCCACTCTGCTACTTCTCTGAATTTCTCTTCAGGCAAAAAAATTTGGATGTTGAGTTACAGGTGTGGAATTTATGCTGTTGGTCCTAAAGCACATTCAGCTGGCATGGGGAGGCTCTGTAGTACCTTTTGACAAAGGGGGTCTCTCTGGAATATTTTGCAGGCTGAAAGCACATCAGAGGCTTCACACAGGGAAAACGTTTAACTGTGAATCTGAAGGCTGCAGCAAATACTTCACCACACTCAGTGATCTGAGGAAGCACATTCGAACCCATACGGGAGAAAAGCCATTCCGGTACATCTTACTGTTTTCTATTTATTATTGACCAGGTTTCAGCTGGGTATCTCGATATACTCTGAAATTTTTCAGAGTCAAAAGAAAACGCCCTTCACTGGTTGTTTCTTTAGTAGTGTTAGCTCCCCCCAGGATAGCTGTGGCCGATGGCTGCAGGTTAGAGGAGTGCCAAGGGATTCCAGGAGCAACCGTATTCTATGATGGTGATGGTGGCCTTTATGCCTCATATTTTCCCTTTATTTTCAAGAAGCATTTGTTGAAACTCATGTGTGTGATAGGTACTTTTATTAGTGCTAGAGAAATACTCAGAAATAGGCCTTCATCTTAAGAACCTTAGCTAGTGGGAAAGAACCCCAAGTAGACAGTGTCTGAGGCAGCGAGTTGCTCAAGTGCCTTGAGCACAGAGAAGGGATACCCACCTAGAGAAGGACGGTGGGGAGGGGAAGAGGAGGCCGAGGGTAAACGAGGGTAGGAATGCTTCCATTAGTGGTGTGTGTATTGTGTATTATATTTTGTTACTTGTTGTTTTATAATATCTCATGCATGTATACAGAGTCATATGGGGGCATCCATTTTTATTTATGTCAACATTTAGGTGCACGTGCATATGTGTCTAATATATATGCACATTATAAGCTTGAAACAGGGACTTGTATCATCTTCTTTCTTCTCTGCTCACAGTGTATAGCATGGTTCTGGACACTCAGTAGAAGTTCAAAACCAGCTTTGGGATGATTATATAAGTTTGTAAGGATCCCCCTCAGTATTGGTAGATATATTGCTGAAAATTGCCCATATACAATGTCTGAATTTTGCAGGGGATATCACTTTTATATTCAAGGTGTTAAGTATGCTACTTGTTGCTCAAATCACTCATCATATTAGGATACTGAGAAACAACTTAGTCTCACTGCTTATAGCTCAAGCGGCTAAGGCACCAGCCTCATACACCTGAGCTGGTGGATTCGAATCCAGCCCAGGCCCACCAAACAACAATGACAACTACAACCAAAAAATAGCCGGGTGGGGTGGTGCCTGTGGCTCAAAGGAGTAGGGCACCGGCCCCATATACCAGAAGTGGTGGGTTCAAACCCGGCTCTGGCCAAAAACTGCAAAAAAAAAGTCAAAAAATAGCCAGGCGTTGTGTCTGGTGCCTATAATCCCAGCTACTTGGGAGACTGAGGCAAGAGAATTGCTTAAGTCCAAGAGTTTGAGGTTGCTGTGAGCTGTGACGCCATGGCACTCTACCTAGGCCAATAGCTTGAGGCTCTGTCACAAAAAAAAAAAAAGAAAAACAATTTAAAAGTCTTCAGAAGCAGTCAACTCTTAGATGCCAATTAAATGGAATTTTTTTTACTTTTGTTTTTCTTTTCTGGATTATCTTCATTTTTCTTTTTTTTAATTGTCTTTTTTTTTTGTTTTTTATTGTTGGGGATTCATTGAGGGTACAAGAAACCAGGTTACACTGATTACATTTGTTAGGTAAAGTCCCTCTTATAATTGTGTCTTGCCCCTAAAAGATGTGTCATACACTGAGACCCCCACTGCCTTCCCTCCTTCCTTCTCTCTGCTCTTTCCTTCTTGATTGGTTTTTTAAATGGATTTTTTTTTTTTTAAACAGAGTTTCACTATGTCACCTTCCATAGAGTGCTGTGGCATCACAGCTCACAGCAACCTCCAACTCTTGGGCTTAAGTGATTCTCTTGTCTCAGCCTCCCAAGTAGCTGGGACTACAGGCGCCCACCACAATGCCTGGCTATTTTTTGGTTGTAGTTGTCACTGTTGTTTGGCAGGCCCGGGCTGGATTTGAACCTGCCAGCTCCAGTGGC